ACTATGTCAGGCCATGTGTGGGTCCAGCGCTTTAACCACTGCACCACTGCTGGCCTCAAAGAATGAACTTTTGATATAATAACATGGAAGAATCTCAAATCCACTATGCAAAGAGAAAAAGGCTCAGTTGTGAAGGCTACATACCTGGGATACCATTGATAAGAAAGGCAAACTACAGAGATAGGAAATAGCTCCATGTAGGATAGGAGGGTAGAGTGACTACGAAGGGGCAGCACAGAGGAACTGAGTTATAGGGGAGGCATGGAAAGATTTGGTATTTTGATTGCAATGGTGGATATAGAACCCCCTGAACTGGTCCATATTCATGGAACCATACACGAAAACAAATGAATTTTATGATATATAGGTTTAAAAAACTAGTTTTAAAAACAGTCATTCTTGACTGTTTTTGTTTTTGTTTTTGCTATGGGGTGTGTGTATTCACTGGAGAGAGAGAGAGAGACAGAGAGGGAAAGTGAGAAATCACTACCCTCCACCCCCCAGGAAACTGGTCACTCTATAGTCTCTTCTCCTCTCTTCTCTGCTTGGGATTTGGTGACATGCACACACACACACACACACACACACAGTGTCTTTTTCAAACCACAATGTTGGGGACTCATAACGCATAGCTTGCCATGTGGAATCCAGCTGCCCTAACCTTCACATACACTACTGGCCCTCAAAACCCAGTAGTCCACTCTTTGTCAAACTACTTTGAACTGTTTCAGCTATGTCTTTTAGTATTTACTCTTTGCCTCTAAATAAAGTGCTTAGTTTGCTACTTGAATTTTCAGTGTTAGGCATTATCCGTTGATGTTTTCCCATAAGAATATTGAATTCCCATGCATATTCCTCCTCTCTTCCTCATGCCTGCCTATGTCTCATCCTCCAGTCCCCAGCGATTGAAGTTGAGACACTACTGGAGGCATTTTGAATATATCGTGAAGATATTTAGACAGCTGGGGAAGAATTGGAGGGTTGAACTCATGACAAATACTATATAGAAATTGTACAAATAAGTGAAATTATTTCATGGATACCACAATACATAAAAGATAATTACAATATTGACATAGCTCATTTGAATCTTATTTACATAGTTCGAGTAAACAGTAAATAATAGTCAATAGTAAATATGGATTCATTCAAAATTTTGATTTGTCTTCTCAAACCTCTCTGGGATTATTCTGGCCAACTCTAGTCTGAACTGCTGCTGTGCTGTCATTTTGGGGCTCCTTCATTATCAGTATCCCTTTCATCTCTCTTTCTTTTTTTAATTTTTTAAAAAATTTTTTAGATTTTTGCTATAGGGTATGGGTGCACACCAAAGAGACAGACAGAAAGTGAAATTGCATGCATACACACGCACCCAGCCTGAGTTTTAAGCCACCGGGTCCAGAACTCAAACTGCAGTCAACTGTGTGGGAAGTCCAGGAATATAACCATTATGCCTTCTGTTGGTCTCACTTTCATCTTTCTTTTGGTAGATCCCTTGATTTCTTTCAAGGTTTACCCTTTCATTTTAGACAAAGATAGTTTTGGCTAAAAAATATTGGGTCTTTGGGAAAATCATGATACATTTTTCCTTTTTCTATACAAAAACGCGTCACAATTTTTTATTTTAGAGAGAGAGAGAATTTTTGCTATAGGGCATGTGTGTTCACCAGAGAAACAGAAACAGAGACAGAAAGTGAGAAACTCCCCCCTGGGGGATGGCCACGCCACAGTCCCTTCTCCATTCTCCTTTTGCGATTTTGGGCATGCATGCACACATGCATGAGTTTTAAGCCACTGGGTCCAGGACTTGAAACGTAGTTAACTACGTGAGGGTCCAGTGACATAACCACTACACCATCTGCTGATCCCACCTCATGACTTTTCTAATGATCCAATAGTACATATAAATTTTTGAGAGCCCTCAAATATCAAGGAAAAAAAGTTTTTAATCAACCTTTCCATTTAACTTTAAATGGTTAGAAAATTCCGATTGGAATAATTTTCTCAAAATTCCGATTGGAATAATTTTCTCAAAATTCTGAAGATTTTGCTTTTTTTCATTATCTTGGGATTCTGTTGTTGCGGTTAAAAAGTACAAAGCATTCCAGTTGTGTGGGACCAGTTTTTCTTCTGAAAGTTTTTAAGCTTCTTCTGTCTCCAGTGTCATGAAATTTGTATGAATATGTCTTGGTGTGGCTCCTTCAACTACTGTTCTGGACCTTTTCAATGTGGAAAACCAGGCTGTTAGTTCTTGAATTCTTTCTTTAGTTTCTTCTTTGCTTTCTGAATTCTTCTTTTTTTGAACTCCTTACAGAGAATTTGAGTCTCCTGGGTATTTTCCTCATTTTTATTATTTTGCTACTTTTCATCTGTCTTTTTTTTTTTTTTCTATAGGACACATGCTCACTAGAGAGATGGGGTGGTAGGGTGTGAGTTAGCACCTCCAGGGGAGATGGCCACATGTAGTCCCTTTGCCTCCATTCTCCTCTCACGAGTTTGGCCATACACACACATGTGCCCAGTATATTTTTTAAGCTGCTGAGTTCAGAACTTGACTTGTTAGTTAGCCAGGCAGGATTCAGTTGCCTTAACCTCCAGGTCGACCAGCTGCCCCATCTGTCATTTTTATTTTGCTTTATCTCCAAATCTTTCTTTTGAATTTTCTTTCTATTATCAAATTCTTAATTCCCCAACATTCTTTCTCTTAGCTCTTAAATAGAAATTTGGTCTAATTTCATAGATGTAAAGATGTAATCATCTTTTAGCTTTCAAATATGGATATTAATCATGACTGATTTCTGTTTGTTTTGATCTCTTGTGTTAGAGGCTCTTCTAAGATGCCTGGTGAGCTCGCTGTGTTCAACATCAGGAGTGGGGTATTACAGTAATTAATTGGAAGTTCTGTGTTCATAGGTGGAGTTTGTCGACTGCGTGCTTCTCTGTGGGACAGTCTTGTTGTGCTGTTTATATAGAAACCTCCAATAACAATATCTTTAGATCTGCACTCTTTGGCGGTCAGATTCCCAGAGAAGACTCTTCTATTCTGACACTTCAGGGTATAAATACTAGCATGGCTACCAAAATAATAAGATGAGGAAGAAGGCTGGGGCTCAACATTCAGACTCCTTTCTTTTCCTCCTAGTATTCTCTATCCCCACTCTGCCTAGAGTCCCTGGGTCAGAGACCTTCTGTTTTATTGCGTGTTTTTGTTCAGTTTTGTTTTGTTTTCCCTGTAGAAAATAGATCTGTGGTCCTATACCAGGCAGGAAAAGAATTATTACCTGACTACTTCATTTCATAGAGAAGAGTTGGAGGGCCTTCTCTGAAACAGATTTTTTTTAAACCAAAATCTGTTTTTAGTCCCATGGTCACTAATTCAGTTGGTATTCAGAGATACCAATTTTTCTCCACAGCTTTCCCTA